TTAAGTTTTAACAAACATTTTGATGTATTTACCTAAGCAATTGTATATTAAAAAACAAAATTAAAATGATGTAGGAAGAACTATAAATAAATCATATAAATAGCTATAAAACATTACTCAAAATTGTATGAAAGTAAATTATGATCAGTGATATAAGAAATACCTATTTTATTTACCAGCTACCTTTAACTGATGTACTTTAACTGTAACATATAATATTATTATACAGTGGCTTGGCGTGGCGCGTTGGCTGCTTCCAGTTGCGGAATGCCACTGGGAGTAAGTAACGGCCACAGCTACTAGCTCTCAGATGGGTGACGACCATTCGGGATCATAGTGGTTAAAAACCTTGCCACACATACACGTGTTTGCTATCAACCGTATCAGTCGTAAAAAATACAACCTACCGAACCAACCTTACTTAAAAAAACCCAATGGCCTTAGTAGCCGCGGGTCAATTAAAAAAAAAAAAAAAGAAAGAAAAAAATATTATTATACAATATGTTATACTAAACTCTGTAAGTATTGTTTAAAAAAACATAAAAATATTTACATCTATTGTATGATTTATGAAATTTACTATCATGTTATGACGTAACATGTGTATTAAATAATATATAATTCACATGATAGTATTTATAAATTATTAACACTACGCGTTTTTCTCATAAATATTTTGTTACAAATTGAAAGTCTGCAAATTTAGAGAAAAATTAATTATAAACTACAAAAAATAAAAAATAAAAATGAAAATGTGAAAATAAATAATGATAACAAATTACAAATTGTGTATAATACAGGCAGTATCGATTCCCCTTTGGTCGCTATTTTTAATAATTATTTTTTTTAATTAATAGATGAAAATTTATTCTCCAAAAATATTGACATTTAACCAATTACCCACTACATATTTTATCGAATACATCACTGCCAGATTAATGTTGCGCTTTTTCAAATTGATAAAGTTCTTGACAGCTAATGGCTATAAAAGGAGATAAAATAATCTAAATAAATGTTATTGAAGATCACAATCAAGTGATTAATATCTAGAAACTTTTGTGTGATAAACGTCCCCCTAGGGATACTGAATATTATAAGATATTCTTTAAGGAAAAATAGTATAAATCAAATGAGTTTTAATTTTCAAAATGCTCTTTAGATACGATCGTTATAATATCTATACCTCTTTAATCGTTTCACTCTGAAATTAATTTAAATTAATACCTTGGTAATATTCTGGAAGGTGAATACAAATTTAAACATGAAATTATCTCTAAAGGAAAAACATGTTTACTTATAGTGTCCTGGTTAAATATCTTGTGTCATCTAACGTAACAGTAAACGAATTTCAACTGAATAATCAACATTTGTTATATGCTTGGATTACAAACTTCCCGAAGGACATTACATAATTTTCTTAATACATAATAATACATAATACATACGAAATGAAAACGGTATTTTAAAATTAATAGCTCGTCTAAAATTAAATAATAACAAACTACATTCTATACATAATTTTACATTTAAACAATTAAACCGTAATTTTACAAACACTTATTAGAATTATATTCAAAAATAATTAGCAAAATATCAAACATTGCATTGTTTCTTTATTAATCAAGCTTACTAAGTGTTTTAATGGTTTTATCTATGAGTACATAAAAATAAAATAATATTTAAGTGTACATTTTGCTAGTCGTTATTTTTTAAACTAATTGATATTAGAAAAAAAAATTTACGTTATATTATAATACAACATAGTTTGTCATTATTAATTCGTTCTTAGAATATTGCATTTTGTTAAAAATTGCAGATTTGTACTCATTATTTTATTGTGACCGTAGAAATTGATTTGTTTTTTAAACTTTACATGATTTATATAACTTTAAAACCTCCTATATTTTTATCAACTCAATGAACAATTAAATTATTGATAAGTTTTACCATAAAAAACGGCTTGTTGTCTTCAACTAGCTTTTATCATTCAAAATTATGTTATATAATATTTAAGGTATTTTATTTAGGTAGTGTAATACTATGTAAATATTACGTTTTTTTCTTGTATCAACCAAATAAAAATAAATAATTTAGAGCCAATAGTATAGATTATTTAAATGTCCAATAAATCTCAAAAAATATGTCAATTTATAATAAATATTACTATTATTTTTTAACAGTTATTTTTAGTTTTACCCTATTTAAAGATTGTTGGGCTTTTAACATGTACACAATTTGAAAAAAAGTAACAAGATTATAGTGCACTCAACCTTAGAGAGGATTTATATTTATTAAATTACGTTTTGGAGGTTATTTAAGTGGGTGTTTAAGGGATTAAGGAGTATGTTATCTTTTAAAATGTAACTTAAAGCAATTTTGTGTAGAACTCCCTTGTAATATGTCTAAACCTTACATTAGCCGTTGTTCAAGTGTTTATAAATTCTGATTAATAAAAAATATTTATCATTTTTATTTTATATATTTATTCATTGTTTATTAGATAAAATTACATAATTTAAATTAGGTATACATAACTTTAGATCAGTTTTAAACAATAGAATATTGCAAAACAATGTATACGTTTAAACATACTATATTCATCTAAATGTGTTATTTACAATTAAATCCAACATTTTTATATTATTCACACACATTTTCATACATTATTTCATTGAAAACTCATATTTTTGAATTATAAAGTTCAAACTAATTTAAATATTTCATTATTAAATTTAGTTTGAACATTTTGTATTATTTACTTCTATAATACTTTTGTCTTTCATTCACAGAATTCCGATAGATCAACACATTATTTCTTTTTCAAGTGCGCAATATTATATAATACACAATTTTGTAAGTATATACATTTATTACCTTTTATCAACATCGATGAACATTCGAATAGTTTTTAGCAAAAAATGTTTTCAACTTTTTCAACAAGACTTTTCATTTGGACAGAATATAAGTATAAAATATCACTATAGACAATACATTTCTCTATACATTTATGAGATTTAAAAAATATATTTATGGGATTTTGAAACTATATTTATTTTTATTTTTTTTACATAATTTGAAGATATTAATATTACAATTTAAATATTAATTTTAAAATTAAAATAAACACATTTTTATATCATAGTTTCCGAGTAAAGCAATGAATGTAATCGTATTATAATACTGAACATTTTTTTTAGTCTCGCTATCTTTAAGAGAAATAAAATATTTAATTTTAAACTTAAAGTGTAATTTTTGATAGCCATTTGGATTTATTTATTACTTTATTAATTTTCTTTTAAAAAATAATGGAGAAAAATTAAATAATTTTTTACAAAATTGATTTTGTTTTTTTTTTTTGCAGTTTAAAAATGAATAACTTTAAAGATTTGAATTTTTCACAAAACATTTATGTAAACATTTTTTATAAGTATATGATATAATTTTGTTATTTTTGTACGATTCACGAGTAAAAATACTAGAAAAATGAATATAAGATTTCTCATGACTTTTTTTTATCAAAATTTAATAATATTAATAATATTAAAATTAGACCCTAACCCTAATATAATGTTTTAAAGCATAAAATTAATCTATAAATTTTGACTCAATTTTACCTACTACTATAAAAAACGAATTTCAAACCAATGAAGTTAATTAATTATAGGTTGTTTGTATATTTAAAATTATATTGAGCAAAAAAAATACACCAACATGTTATACCATTGTAAAAATTACATAGGCCGTAATATTTTCTACAGTTAAGGAACAATGTTAAGTGTGTGTACAATTGCCCTGTCGTGTGCATCATAGATGGTACACGACTACTGAAAATAAATACTACGATTAAAAAAGCCATATAAATAATATACCTGCTGCATGTTTGTACGCGATTTGTTAAGTTAATGACGGCTGACGATACATAAATAGGTATAACAATACACACTGAACCAGTACACGGGAAAATATATATTAGGGCCTCGGGGTGTTATTAGGAAAAATCAAAATTAAGTGTTCGGAGAGTGGGCGAGAGCGCGCAATAAGGAACGAGCATCAGATAGCCAGCGAGCACGTAATTGCGCAGACGTATAAAAGTGTATATAGAGCCAGTTATCACGTGTATACGATTAATGGCTTGCGTTTTTACTTTTTGACGTGGTTGCCGAATGTATATATAGTGCCGCGACGGATGAAAGCACAACACGCGAAACGGAGCACTTTTAACTGACCATTCGGCGGCGGTAATGCCGCACGTCCACAAAATTAGGTGAACCTTTGAATTACCACTAAACTACTAACTTTATCCGGTATGCCTCTCAAACATCCGATAAACTTTCTACTAATTTCAATTAATGGGTAATAAGATACCTATACTAGAATTAGAAGCTCTTTTAAACTTTAAACTTATGTAGTGCTATAATACAGATAAAATATCTGATTTTTATTGGCTTATAAATTATAAATTATCAGGCGTGATTTTTTTTTTTTTATGTATATCTATTTCGGATGGAATAAATGGTACTCGGACAATTAAAAAAAAAAAAGCAAAATTTTTTTTCGGTAAATAAGTTCTAAATTGGTAAAAACATTAATTATATTCTATAAACAATCATCCATTCCAATTAAATATAAAAACTATTTTATTTGAAAAATATAACATTAAGCAGCTCAAACTGTCAAGTTAATACAGTTTTCAGAGCTAATATTTAAAAAATAACTAATTATGTAGCAACAGTATTTATGTGCATGTTTAAACAGTTCAAGTTGCGTAATTATGAAAACAGAAATTCCCAGATGAGTACCTATTATTATTATTATTATTATTCATATAAGATTTATAACTTTTATAAGTTATAATGTTATAAATATACACTTTATTTTCTATACCTTAAGAGTTACTATAGTTTCGTGTTTTATAACAAGCTATAATACATATTATATACCTACTTCAGTTTTACAAACAAGATAAAATTACCAATATTGAAGAAAAATTTTAAAATAATATGCAGAACATCACAAATATATTTAACTTACCTTTTTTATACATTTGTTTAATCGGAAGTACAGCCTATTGTTTATGGTATCTGGATAAAAAAAGGTAAAACAATATTTACGTGAATAATTGCATCCCAGCACTTGGTACGCAGAATAGAAAAAAATATTTCTATGCACTGAACACGAATAAACTATCCAAAAAAATATACTTTGTATGCGTAAAGAACAACCAATTTTATAAGGAATAAAATCTAACGTTCTAAATAATCAAATTGAAATACTTTTGAAAATACAAAAATTGAATACAGATAAATATAATATCAAATGGTAGAATTGTAAAAGCAATATTATTTTTATTATTCATGATAAGTAAAAATAGTGGAACATAAACTTACAATTTCCATTTAAATCAAAATTATTTCCTTACAGTAAATAACTATGATATAGAAATATAGTAATTAGGAAATATAAAAGTATAACATAATACATTATATTATTTTAGAGAATATTAATGATTTTTATCGACTCGTAATGCGTTTAAATTTTTTTAATAATTTGACTTAAATACCTATGTACCCTAATTTGTATAATGTTTATATAGTAAATATGCTTGTTCAATTGTAAAATAATATTATTTTTTAATTTTTTCATATTAAACAGATAATTTATTTAAACTCAAAACCGTATAATAACTAATAGTAATTTATATTCTAATTAAAAGGTCATATTAATTAAAGCAAATGTATACCTAACTTTAAATGAAAAATGTTTTTACATAAACTAATAAATTGTAAACGTCATCATTTTTTTGTTGTTACAAAAATATATCGGTAACAAGTAATATTTTTTTATTTAAAAGTGTTTAGTATAAAAAATGTATATCAGTATAAAATAACAAAATATACGACTAAAAATTAAAAAAAAAATTTACATCGAAATTATCTTATAACTTAGTAACTTACTAATAAGTAATCATACACGAGTAAAAAATAAATTCAAAGAACTCAATCTGCTGTTAGTATCTTAGATTAGCTTTTAGGCTTGAAATTAATATAAATATTTTAAGACATTGTAATATGTATGAAATAATATTATAAATAGGAGGGAAAAGCTTAAAGAGCATACGAATTATGTTTTACAAGTTATATTGACTATACCATTTTGGAATGCTTGTAATATTATACGTAAATAATTTATGACGTACTAGGAAATTAACTTAAATATATTATTTTTATAATATGCTATAAAATATAACACCATGCACATATGCACTTTTCGTCTATGCAATTTATCAAAAGAATTAATATTAGATGTCAATCTAAAAAGTTGTTTTTGTATTAAAAATATAGTCCAATTAGAATTTCTGTGTATTCTTAAAAGATGTTGTTTTCTTTCTAATCAATATTTTGTTTACAAATTTCAAAATATGCATTTGAAATGTAAATATTTCTCACAAATTAATAGTTATAGACAGGTACTATTTTATAAAGATTTACCGATGTAAACTACTAACCAATCAACATAATATTATTATATTAATCTATAACAATCACGCAAATACTAGGAAGTCTTTGTTCTAATTAAAGCTATTGAAAATGCATATTTATTTTGATAGGTTCCATTATAGTTTCTAATATTAGCGTATAATATCCTTAGCTACAATATTACATATTACAGTGAACTCCATAATTCCCTTGAAAAAATCTAAAATTACTATAGTCAAGTATTGAACTTATAACTTATTAACTTATTATACTTTACAAATGTTGTACTCACGCGTCTACACATATTATTGTTATTATAAACATTGAAATTAATAATACCATATTATATTTAATATTAGTACAAATTAGTTTTGTTAACTCAATATTATTGTTTATCATCATATTTGGTAACTTCTTCAATTCATAATTCAATGTATACGTCGAATTGAATGGACATAATTATTACTGCCAAGTGATATCATATTCAAACATTCGTACCTACGCAAAACCTTTGTACACATCGTACATATTACTTACGAATACAGAGTGACATACGTCTTTGAATACGTATAGTCTCAGTCAACTGTTCTTCTCGTAGTTAAAAAATTAATTATTAGTTAAAAATTATTTTTTAAGCACGATGATCATCTTTTTACCATCTAAAACTATGTCAGGGTCATTAAAAAACACGTAATCGATAAAAAATATAAAAAATAAAAAAATTAAGTGACTAACATTATACATGACCGTGTTCTATCTTAAAATAAACTAGCGCGCACTTCCTTATTCGATAACTATACACATAATTTATTTTATATTCGAATTTTTATAATTTTTACAGGGTTTCAGATCCGAATTACCGCAAGAATGTAAAGAATACTAGACAGTCCGCCGAGTTAGTGAGATCAAAAGCATTCAAATCACGGTCCTCGACATTTCCTTCACCCTATGACTCGGCTGGGAGACTGAATTTTGCGCTGTGCAAAATCAAACAAGCTGAACAGTGCGTAGAGGCAGCGATTGGTGACAGGGCCTACATGAGCTGTGGAAGCTGCAAAGGAGAAGCAACCGACATTGGTTGCAGAGAAGAGGCGGCTGTCTGCATTGCCGAAGCTTTGTACGTATTAAGCTTTCGAGAAGCTAAGGTTATGTTGGCGCAGTCCAAGTCCTTACTACCGCTGGAAACTTACAATCTGGTATGCAACAAATACACCGAACTTAAGAAAAACGTCTGACGATGACTACGTTAAAAAACATGATAAATTGTTATAAATAATAATACGTACGCCACAATTTTACATGTAGGGGATGGGTACTTTCTTTTCTGTATATTAAGCATATTCTATCTTATTAAACTATTAACTAAACAATAATCACGTATGCGTGTGTCTGTGAAATTCTTCTCAAATACGGTTGTGTACGGATCTCGGAACTAAAAAATTTTTTTGATAAAATTATTTCATTAGTTTGACTAAATGACCTAGAAAAATCACGTTTTTCAGTAATGTTTGAAATTTTGAAAATTGAAATATAAATAATATTTTTTTAGGTATTCCAAAAATATAAACCATTGGAATATGTGTTGCTGTAAATGTTTAGAAAAAAATTAATTTTGAAAGGAATATTTATAATATACATGGTATTACTGCGATAATGGCAGTGTATAGAGAAGTAAAATAAATAATTAAAAAATATTATACACAGATACTCGTAGTAAATAATTATTATATTAAAATAAATTTTAATTAATATAAATGGAACAGGTAGGTAATGGATCAGATTAGTTATTAATATGATTAATCAAATAATATTATTAAACATAGTATAATTACTGAAGAAAATTCGATAAAATAAGAACCTGGAACACATTCCAAGAATTACATTCGATTCTAATAAAGGTCAACTTGGCTTTACCATGTGAAAACATAAACTTCCCGTTAAACTCTTAGACTAGTATTTCTTATAATAGTTCACAAGGTTCAGAGTCTAACATTCAAGCACTTGAGTATGTTGTATACTTATGAACACTAGTTTTTATTCGTGAAATAATGTACTTACGTTATATTTTTACTTGTAAAAATATAATACAGTAATAACTAATAAATGATTTTGCTACTATAAAATCCTTGTCGCAGTTTAATCATGGTATGGAAAAAATACATAAATAATACAGATTGTTTTAATTATAATTAACGAAATAATTGTCAACAAATAGATTTCTATTAAAAAACTTTTATTCTGGAGATTCCGAACGACTTAAATGATTTCAATCTGCCTAAATTTATCTTTGAAGTCCCTGATTTTATTAAACTCGCCGCAATTAATTTAACCCTTAATTTTCTTTTTCTTTTTTATAAGAAAAATAAAAAAAAATATGTACAGAATGTAAACAAATTAAATTTATTTAAATAAATAAATCATTTTTGAAAAATTGAACCTATGCAAGGCTGGGTCACCTGTTACTTTTATCAAAAATTGATTGATTTTTAGTGGTTACGAAAATCATCTTCGAAGCAATGCAGATACCCGTGGAGAAATGTCTCGCTCCATTCTCACTAATAGATTTGCTTTTACTTTTCAGTGCAACACCTGTTCCCACCAAACTGTACTACTCTCCATTCGGGGTATCGATTAATTTAATAGGTATGCCTACATCCCAAAATGGATTAACAGTATCGATGAGGAAAGTTAGTAAATTTAAACTTTATTAGGTTCAATTAAATATATTGCCCTAGTTATTTATGTCTAATAAGCAATAAATTCTGTAAATAATTATAGAACAAATTAATGATTGATCGATTGACGTGATTACAATCATTTATAATATACATTACTAATGTTTTATATGAGCAACAACTGACAAAAAAATTTAATTCTATAAAAAAAAAAATGATTAAATTGTATTAAACCCTCACTAATCAATATATTATCTCTATATATATATATAATTCTTCTGTAGTTTTAATACGTCAGTGAACTCTTCCTAATCAGCTGGACCAATTTTGATTAAAAAAAAATGTTTGTGTGTTTGAATAGGTCTCTGGGTAATTTAGATTCAAAATTAGACTTGGTAAATGGCGTTGAAATTAGGTTCTAAGAAATATTGTTATGGATACGTCTTAAATAATATATATGTAATCTTAGATGCCAATGATCATGGAAATCACTTATCCAATCGTCGTGAAATATTTTTTTAAGTATAATAAGCTATGGAGCAGGTGTTAAACATAATTTTATCGATCTCACTTCCATCCATGGAATATTAAGCGATAAAATATGAACAATGAATATATCAGTGGCATCATATATACAAAAAAAAAAAAAATCAAAACATTTTAAAACTTTTTTTGTGGAAAAATTGAGCTTAATACAACAAAAATAATAATCAATATTGAATTAACTTAAATTTTTTCAGTTAATTTTAAATTAATGATTTTAAAAATCTATTAACAAAATTAACGATTTGTCAGTGAACTGACTTGTACATACGCCATTCACAAAAACCAAGGTACAATATGTAGCAGCGTACGTTTGTTCAACTACACCCGAACAAAAAATAATTTTTAAATGGTCAAAAAAATTGCACAGCCAACGTCGTACAAGATAACTATGAAAAGTTGATATAAGTCAAAATTATCATCTATGCACTAAATCAGAAAACTAAAATATCATTTATCCACACGTGTTAGTTAAATATTAGCATTAGGCAATTTAATTTAACATGGATGTATTTTTTAATGAAACAAATTGTACGAGACAGCTATTTATATCTAATACATGTTGATAAAAATAGAGTAAACATTACAAAATTGATTGTATGATAACATAGTAACAATAGGTAAATGTAGATTATTTATAAAAAAAAAAATGAAATATTTCAACATCGATAAGCTTTCATATTTTGTGTCAGCTATAGTTTTAAATGGCATTACGACTACTCATTCGTATATATTTAAATTATCATCAAATAGTTTATGATTGCTCAAATTTCACAACAATCGATTTACATGCCACTATAATACTCGCATGTATATACATTATAAATATATTATATCGAACTAATATTGTACAATAATATGCTAAATAACCAATATGCAATTAAAATTAAATTTTAGAAGAGAACTTTATCTTGTGTTAAAGACAAAATAACCACAAAAAAAAACTAGATAATATAATACTTTAAGTTGAAGGTACATAACGTACAAAAATTGATTTTTGTACAAAATATTTCGTGTTAAATGTACATTTAAAACAGTTGCATGTCATTTAACATAATATTATAATCTTTTCTACAAACCATTTATAATTTGATATAAAAATCATATAATACACATATTTTTAAATTATTATGAGGTAGATATTAAAATTATTCACTGTAGACAAAAACAAAACACATTAGAATGATACAAAGAAATATGATAATATTTTTGAAAACATTATCTAATAATTACTTAATACGTATCAAATATTTTGAAATAAAGTTATACGATTGTTTTAATAATTTACAATCATATAATACATTTTTCATTCTTAATTAATTATAGATATTATACAAGTTATGATTTATATATATTATAATTATATTGAGTATTGACCTTGTCATTAATTCTAAAAATAAATGTTGCACCATGTTATTTTGAACTTAAAAAAAATTATATATTCAAAAACATTTAGATGAATTCATCTAAAATATCAACGAATGAAAGCAAAAATGTATTTTGTATTTATTAAATGGGTATATAAAATCAACAATACTGTCATAGTAATGTTTTAGTTAGTATCAATTATAAGCAAATTTTGATTAAAATGTATTTTTGAATCCCATAATCTATTAAATTTAATTTCGCAACGCTATATCAGATGAAGAGTTGATCAAAGAGAGATGAGTGCCAAATATTTTCCATAGTATTCTACTTACTCTTTTCGTTGAACATCCAATGAGGAAAAATTAACAAATTATCTATAATATTATTCACTTATGAAATAATTTCAACTTTCAAATGATTATGAATATTTTATATGAACATACACTACTCTCATTTTAATTAATCACAGCATATTCATAAATTCATTCATACATCTTACTGTAAAGATAAACTATAGTTTTTTTATCAATAAAATAATGTTTTATAAGAAATCATTTTCAAGACCTACAAAATAAATTTGCCTTAAATTTCTACAATTTTTATTTAAATTATCAATTTTGTAATTAAACTTTAATTAAAAAAGGATAAAATTTACTCAAGGTTATGTGTTCTAATAACCATAAAAAAAAAAAAATTGAATTCATTTTTCTTAAGTCCGCTCACAATATTTTAAGAATGAATATGAACATTGGTCTTACATTGTATACTATACTTTAACTTAAAAATAATAAATATTCACAAAAAAATGTACATTTTGAATTATTATCTTTAAAAAATACTAAATATATAAACTCAAGCAGATTAATGAAAAATGTTGGAAATAAATTGAAAGTTCATATTGAATAAAATATAATATTTTTTGACAGTCTAATAAATATTGAAGAGTAGCTAAGTACTACTAAACTGATCATTTTAATGGTCCAAAATGTAAAGAAAACAAATTGCCTGCAGAAACAAATATTTTAAGTTTGCAGTTTCAGAGTTTCTCAGTAATGTAAAATCTTGGCCTTTGTATTTTGTACGCAGATGCGTAAGTCGTAAAAAATGTACAATAGTCAACAATAAAATCGCCATTTCTACATCATTTGTTACCTCGTAAACCATATATATCTTGTGATAAATTACTGAGAACAATAAAATTAACAATGAGGTCTCAATATTTTCATGACCAATTTATCATAAAAATATTAAACATGCATTATTTTTTTCGTTATACTTCCTGTAATGGCATAATTTAAAATTTAAGGATACAAGTTTGATAGATATATAATACAGTTTATTTATTCTGTAATGCTAACCAAAGCTATTGATTTCAGTGCAATTTTTTTTTTTTTTTTTAAATAAACACATTTAAAATACTTAAAAATGACATACAATTTCAATAGATTGGAAATGAGTGGATAAGTCAAGATATTTATTCAATTTTTTTCCTACTCATATGGAAAAAAAGTATATCTAACTAAAAAATAAATAAATTAAAATTTATTAATTTTTGATAATGGCATTTAATTATAATTAATTCAATAAAACACACTCACCCAACCAAGAAACTTTAGGCAATTTCAGTTTTGATTTAATTTTCTATTGTTCTTCGCGAAATTACAATATAATTACCTGAAATCATAAAACATATAATATATTATGAAAGCAAAAAAAGACACTTATTTTTATTACATTATATTATATTATAAATTTCAATAAATATATGTGCTGTTAATATGGATAAATTTAAGTTGAATAATTTATATTTTTTTATGTAACTCAACATATACCTTATACCTATTTCTAAAACCATGAATATTCTGTAAAAAAAATAATTCACAATTTTTACATTAATATAAATATTATTATACTTAAAAAAATAACTAAAACTACAAATTAATTCTCAATTATGTTTGTTAATTTTTAATCAGCATACAATCGAAATTCGTTATAGATAGGTACATATAAAATAATATGATAATATTTAACAGTATGTAATACGTATAGTTTATGATGACTATATATTTTACTATCTATTTCAATTTAAACAATAAACCGAATGACGTTTTTACTTCGAAAATAAGTGATTTTTAAACTACTAGCACCATTTTACTTCAAAATACCAAACAATTCATTTTTACTTTTTTACAGTAATTAATTATTATTCTCTTTGAACTATTAGAAATGTTTACTAACTCAAAAAAAAGTATTCATGTTAAATTTTTAATTGAAAGCATGCTGTATGAAACTTTCAGAGCATTTTTCATATTTAAAAAACTTTTAACCCCCCCCCATCACTAAAAAAGACATAATTATCAAAACAACTAACTATCTTGCTTCTGTTTAAAATTTGAACTACTTATCTACCACAACCATACATAAAATTTCATAAAAAAAAAACAATACAATACACGCCCCAATATTAAATGCATAAACCTACATATTTAATATTTATATACTTATTAATTTTAAACCAAATAACAATTTAAAAATGTAATAAATCTATTTAAGTTGTAAAAAAAAATTTTCTCATTACAAATTAAATAATAATAAATTGAAATTCGATGAAACATCAAATATCTAAGTATAATACGCCCTTTGAATATTATAATATACTACGAACGGGTACTCATTTTATGCTAACAAAATGTATCCGTAAAAATAACAAACAAAGTAATATAATAAAATCCAAAGCAAATATGATTTACAGTGAATAAATGAAAAAGGCAAAGTACAATATTTTTTTAATGTTTTTATTTATTTACTTATTTTATTTTTTTTTTTTTGTATACACATTATTTTGTTAGGAAATAGTTTGTTGGGAATATCGAGGCACAAAAACGGTGTAACAATAATAAGTGTAACATGTGATAAACTGACGTCGTAATCTGTACAATAGCCAGTAAAATATAATTGACACTAATGAAAAGAATAAAGTTTAAAACAAGTGCAGTTTCGATGATCGACGTAAGTGTGGCTGCAAGACTTTAGGAGTCAAGGAGATTTGAGATTTGTCTTTTTCACGTTTATTAATGAATAAACAATAAGTAAACAGAACCTTTTTTTAAATATTTATAAATTATGTGAATAATTTTATTGCTTGAATAATTCAATCAAATATGACATACAGTAGATCACTCCTATGGGCCCACCCACATATCACAATTAACGTATTAAACACATGGCAAAAGTTAGCAAATTACTACATTATCTCTAAATAAATTGTATTATTTTAATTTTAAAACCATAAATAATATATTAAAAGTGGCCTGGTGTGTACAGTAATTGGCCTCAATCACTCATACGTTCCGAGGTCAAGCATTGAGCGGTGTCGCTGGCTCTCGGATGGGTGACCACCCGAGTTCTTAATAACGAATTCGTGGCGCACACACATACACACACATGTTCTAACCTTACTAACCAAACTTTCCAAATAAACCTAACACAAAAACTTACTGTTCCTATCCACAGCTAATGACCGTAGTTACCGGGCTTAAATAAGATAAATAAATATATATATTAAAATTAATAATAAATTGTGACTAGTTTGTAATAACACGTTATAGAATTTATTTCACTATTGTCTATTATTATATTATATAAATGACTATGTATTTTAAAATGAAAATCATGATTTTTTTTTAGATTTACTCCCTTTTATTCATTATTATAAACCATTACTTTTACCATTTTAATTTTAGATCTATTTACTTCACGATTAATACTGTGTTATCATTAGTTTCATTGTTAAGAAATATATTCGTAAATATGATTTTAGACTCTGAGTAATAAAAATCTATACCTAAACAAGTCTAATTGTTTTAAAAATTCTATTATCCATGGGAAATAATAATATACATCATCGTAAATGATAAAAAATTTAAAATTTCTATCGTTTATATTTTCGAATTACAACAATAGATCTACAATTATTATTTATCATTTAAATGTTCAATGTTGTCAAAACTAAAACTAAATGGTTGTGCATGTTATAAATATATATATTCAGTAATAAAAATATTTGATAAATATTTCAAGTTTCGATGGTTATTTCTTTTTGAATTAAAACAAAAAATAAAATAAATTCTACTTAAAGTTAATGATTTTTAAATATTTCTGTTCTTCCATATTTTAGTTTTTAATTATTCTCAATTACTTTTAAAAGTACTGAAAAATTCCTACTTATGAGGAACTAAGCTTATTTTCTATCGGAAACTGCCTTAAGTGTTAAAATTCAAAACATATTTACTGATTCAAAACGCGATAATTAATAAAAAAAAATTTAAAAAAATTATTGTAAAACTAATATAATAATCACTTCCATCATACAACAAATTATCCAAAAAATGATTTGGTCGGTATATAATATGATTAATACTTTGAAAAAAGGTACCTATACCAATTGGACACATTTATAAATTGTATATATGTAGGTATTTAGAATCTAAGTTTAGAAAATAATGATTAATTATCAAATAAAACAAAATCTAACTTTAACATAGTATTTTATTTTTTTAAAATTAATCTTTTGGCCGTTATAAAAGTTTTTTTAAAGTGTATGAAGACAACTTAGCCAGTAACTGTACCATCCTGTTGTCATTTAAGGTTTTTCATTCCATACCTTCCGGATATCCTAGTATCAGAGTACAAAAATAAAACAGTGGTTAAATTATACTGTAATTCCATTAATGCGACAAAATTCAATCCAGTTCTGAACAATAAAAATGTTTCGTATATCTGGGATTCAAACAATCATTTATAACAAAAAAAAATCTGTATATAGTTTTAGTTGAAGTATAATACACAGAGCAAAGTTAAAGTTATATTTAGTTTAACTTTAAAAACTTAAGATTTAAAGTGTAAAATGTATTATTTATTATATAAATTTTACCTCAGACATTCGTACTATCAATAGACAAATATTACAATTAAACGGAGGTGTTTAACAATGAACATTTATATAATAATAACTAAATATATTTACTTTTTTTTTATTATAGTAAAATATCGTGTTAATAACTACATACCTATCTACTTCTTATTATTTTAAAAATTTGTATTATTTTTTAATTCAAAATATTTGAACTATTATAAACTATAATAAAGGCTAATATATATTACAGTAGGTATATTACGTACTCAGAGTAATAATAATAAAGCAACTTTTAGACAATTAGAGAAATAAGTAAGTATATATGTACATCAATTTGTAAGTTAAATATAATTCATCTAATAATCATTAAAGATTTAGAATACAGTTTAATAATAAAAAAATGTAAATATTAATAACGAATTTTGTTTACATGAAATGCGATGAATTTAATAAAGGTGTGCCTAGTGTAATAACTAATAAAATATCAACAATTGAAAAATTGAAAATACATTTAAAATAACATAACATAATATGGACATTTTTAAGTCCATTTCTCGATAGAAATTTATACTATTATTGAGGAACGTAAATATTGGAAAAATATCAAACATTTTGACAGAAGTTAAAACTTGAGAAATTTTTACATGAAAATATAAATATTTTAAATATATATAATTCAGTAAAAGCGACGATGAAATGTTGAAGATAAATTTAGTGTGACCAGTAAAGTTCTCCGCCAACTCGACCGAGTGTACTTACTAGTATAGTTAATATTTTATTGTGATTTACGTATTTTGGGCTATACATTTTTGTCGTAAACTTTTAGTTGACATATTTCTGAAACTTAATTATATATATATATACTATTACTTTGATTTCTTTGAACTTTATAAAAGTACAAACTACGCGATATTCGGGTTTAACAACATAGGTAGATAGTATAGATAAGACGCAAACTGCTTATCAGCTGGACTCAATATTTATTTATTTTTTTATTTTTTTTTTACACTTATGTCTTGAACATAGCAGCTAAGCTTTTTCAAACATAAAATACATTTGTAATTTTTTTTATTACAATTATACAAAGACTTCAATATTAAGATGTTCATCATTCGCCTTTAAAGTTTTAAAAATTATTATTAATATTAATAAAAATAACTACAAGACTACAATTTTAGTAACTAAAATTTTCAATTGATCAACCATCCAAGAACAATTGTCTTGAAATGTAGATTAAAGATCAATTATATATACAGTCGCTACTGGGATGAGCACACGCCACACATTCATTCCACCAAACATACCCACAAATTATTTGAATGCATTCAAAATGGTATTGTCATTAGATTTTATTTTTATTCTTATAATTTTAATTATTAAACCAAATAGGAAAACAGTGGTGGATCCAAAGGGGGGAGGTAATAGGATAAATACCCCGCTTGAGCTTAGGTTAGATTACCCACTACTCAAAAGAATTACGATAAACTGTCAATCGGATCTTGGCATGACGATTTATTATACCCTCCTTGATAAATTTCTGAATCCGCCCCTGGTTAGAAAACATAATATATTCCAATTTAATAAAAAATAAACTATATTTTTAATAATTATAATTACAATGGTAACTTATAAAGGAGAAATTTTGTTAAAAATTAATAATAAGTTAACAAAATACCAAATTATAAACTCAATTTATTATTTTTTACTAAATTGCACATTTAAAAAAAATTAAGAAATTTTTATTAAAAAAAAATAATAA